TCCATCATCCATCCATCCATCATCCATCCATCCATCCATCATCCATCCATCCATCCATCATCCATCCATCCATCATCCATCCATCCATCATCCATCCATCCATCCATGCATCCATCCATCCATTTGTTCAGTCATCCATCTGTCCATCCATCTGTCCGTTCATTCAGTCATCCATCCATCATCCATCATCCATCCATCTGCCCATTTGTTTACTCAGTCATCCATCCATCTGTCTGTCCATTCATTCATTCAGTCATGCATCCATTCATCCATTCATTAATTCTTCTCTTTAGAATATCATTGTGCTATGGATCAGGCAGTACACAAGGGGCCATGGTAAAGCATGGCTACCCTGAACTACTGACATGAGAGGGACGGGTTCTTTGCCATCAGACAGTTTTGGTAAAGTGATTATGGCAGCTCAAAAGTAGGAGTGTTCCTAACTGTAAATGAGAGTCTTGATGAAGGCTAGGATTCCGAGATGCAGACAAGGGCCAGGGGCAGTCAGGGGGCAGCGCAGGATGCAGGACAGAAATTGCCAAGTGCTGAGGAAGTAGGCACAGGGTCAGTGGGGTCTCAGCTTTGTAAGATGAAGAGGTTTTAGGAGTCTGTCATACAACAACATGCATTTAACATTTTACTTTGGCAAATGCTGCACATAGTGTGGTTGAAATGGCAAATTTTATATTATCTTATTAAAAGCAAAAAAATTAAGACTTTCTTTAATGAATGTTCCAGCCGACAAAATATACGCCTCACTTCTGAGGGAATCATGGCATAGAAGAACAGGATGGGAAACTGAAATTGAAACCAGGCAGACTTAACAAAGTTAAGTCAAAATAAGCCAGTTAAGGATTGTTTTTAAAAGAGTTAATCAAAAGCCAGGAAAACTTTTTAGAAAAGAAGATACTCAATTTTTATTTAAAAAATTAATTATGGCTTTCTTTTTTTCTTTTTGAGATACGGTTTCTCTGTGTAGCCCTGGCTATCCTGGAACTTGCTCTGTAGACCAGGCTGGCCTTGGACTTGAGATCTGACTGCCTCTGCCTCCTGAGTACTGGGATTAAAGCATGTGCCATCAATGCTCGGCTTAGTTCTAATTTTTAAATGAAACCTGAATGATAATTCCATAATAGTCGTTGGTTAATAATGCAAAATCCAATTACTGAATACTGGCTAAGACCGTGAGACAGGGACAGAAGACTGAAAGGTGAACTTCACTTCCTAACTTATGCCATGAAGTCAGTCATTTCCCCTTAGCTGGCTAATCAGAGAAATACAGGTAAAATTGTGCCTTGAAGAATACTAAGATTGCATCAGCAAGATGACTCAGTGGGTAAAAGATATTTGCAACCAAGTTCAATCCCTGGGTCCCACAGCTTGGAAGGACAGAATGGAGCCCGGCAAGTGATCTTCTGACTTGCACATGCGCAGTGTGGCATCTGTGTGCCCTGGCCCCACAATAAATATATGTAAAAAATGTGCATTAAAAAATAAACATTAGGAACCAGTAGCAGACTGAAAACAGGGTATATTAAATAATGAACGAGTCAAAGTAGCTATGGACAAACAAGAAGAGAACTAAATTAGTAGTAAAATCAGTGTTTTTTTTTAAACATAAAGCTATAATTACTTATTAAGATAAAATACTGCCTATAATAAATAGATAATAGGACAGCCTCAAAATGTAGCGAAAGCCATTGAGACAAAGCGGAACCAGAAAGCTTTAGACTGGGATGTTAAGTCAGTGATGTCTTACTTCAGAGTACATGGCCAAGAACGAATTACTTTGGTGATTTGAGTAATATAATTAATACATCTAAATTAGGACAATATTCATAGAGAATTGATTCTACTGTAATTTCCCAAACATAACATTGTCACCCAATATAGTGTCAGAGGCAGGTAGTTCTCTGTGAACTCAAGGCCAGCCTAGTCTACAGTGTTCCAGAGCAGCCAGGGGGCTACTTAAAGAGATCCTATCTCAAAAAAAAATCAAAAATCTAGAATCAAACCACCATCAACAAAACACTTCTGGAATGTGGTTCAAGATACACTGAGAGGTCAGCATGTCTACTGACTATTCAACTGTTGGCCATTAAACAAGAGAACACAGCACACTAACCTATGTTCTCCAATGTGATAGCTACTAGTCACATGTAAATACTGAGTGCTTAACAGAGCTCACCAAACAGTGTGTTTACTTGTGAAATAGACAGTGGTTTTGAGGACACAGTATGGAAAAAAGAATGTAAAGCGTGTCATTTTATAAAAGGCTGAGTAGGGCTGGAGAGACAGCTCAGCAGTTAAGAACAGAGGATCCTTGCAGAGGATCGGAGTTCAACCCCAGCACCCACATTTGATGGCTCACATCTGCCTGTAACCCCAGCCCCATGGGGATCTGATGCCCCTCGCCATCACAGTCACCTCCACCCACCTGTGTGGACCCACACTTATGCACGTGCACATAAAACAAATATTTTTAAAAAGTTGAGTATGTGCTGAAATTTTAGATATACTAGATTAAGTAGAACCTCTAATTACATTTAAAATTGTGTGAGCAGGTTGTGTTGTATTTCTAGCAGACAATGTTATCCAAAAACTCTACTCCAAAAAATTAGAAAACCATCATTAGCTAAGAAGATAGAGGAAAGGAAACAATATAGGCAAAAGGAAATTAATTAAAAAATAAAGAAAGAAAACTGCCTACAAAAGCTGGAAAGGAAGAATTAGAAAATAATTTAATATGAAAACAAATATGGAAGAGGTAACACAGGATCAAATTTGACTATGTTAGGTCGAAAGACACAATGCAGTGAATAATGTTGCAGAAAAATAAATATCATCAACCTTACCGAAAAAGAAAAAAAGAAAGAAATTAAGGCCAGGAGAGATGAAAAGACATGAACTGAAATCAAATTATGAAAGAATTACCTTTATAGGGCGGCCTCTAAAGTTATGACTCTTTCATAGGGAACTTCATCCAAGCTTATTTGAAAATTGAGATAATTGTTGTCATTTGGAAACGAACCCAAAAACTCAGGAAAAAAGGGGCTTGCCAGCCGGTCATCTACAGGCGACATCTCGCAGTAAGTCATAAACAAGGAAGCCCACTGGCTGACCTCTCTAATGTGAATGGATGGGGAAGTCCTAAATGAAATGCCAGCAAGTAGATCCATTATAACCAAGTACACTTTCATCCCAGGAAGGCCGTAATGATTTAGCATCAGGAAATCTATAAATGCAATCTATTACATCAAGGGGTCTGATTGAAAAACAGTGGCAATGCCCATGGGTGGAAGGAGAGAGAGAATTATTAGATTATATGTATGAAAAACCCAAGAGAACCCTCTAATAAAGATTAATCAGGGTTTAGTAACTAATTAATATGAGTATTTAGATATTAAATTAATATATAAAAGTCAACAGCTTGCTTTCTTGACATAATTTACCAGTGAGATGTTTTAATGACCAGACT